ATTGCTCCACATGGCTTTCAAGACTGCAGATCTTTTCATGAGAGCAGAAAGCCTCATCTTTCTCCCTTAGAGGGGCTGGTGGGTTTGAACCACTGACTTTGCAGTTAGCAGCCCAATTCCTGGATGCATTTATAAGGCGTATAAACATGCATGCTGGAATATCCTCTGCCAAACCTACATATGTTATGGGTGTAGTCCTGTTGGCCTACCCACACCTATTCAGCTTGCGTGTTTGCTATATCCATGCAGAGATGATCGCTTATTACTGGCATTTCTGGACGGTGTATGTAACAGCACTGACCTTTGCTGTCTGTACCCTTCAGTGTCTTCCTTTCTCCTCATACCATGCTGCTCTCCCCTCCTTGTGTCTTTCTCTCCTACCAAGCGAACGTGTCTACTAGCTAGTTGGTTTCATCACAGAATGTTTCTGTGTGTACAATTATTCTCAACTTTTGATAATAATGATCTCAGACAATATTTGTCCTTCTGTGATTGACTAATTTCCCTCTGCGTAATGTCTTCTGGGATATGAGGTATTATGTAGATTCACTGTTATTCTTCAACGTTGGGTAGTATTCCACGGTGTATCTTTACCAGCGTTTGGTTAACCATTCTTCTTCCACTGATGGGCATTTAGGCGGTCTTCATCTTTTTGCCATGTGAACAGTGCCGTAATCTGTATTATTCTTCAACACTGCACAGTATTCCACAGTGCACGGAATGGTTGCTTATTCATCCATCCATTGATGGGCATCTAAGTTGTTTCCATCTTTTTGCCATTGTGAATAATGTTGCTATGAACATGGGGATACATACATGAGGGGCTTCAAAAGGTGTGTGTGGAAATTTCCGTATCTTTTAATCCCATTTCCCACACAGTTTTTGGAGCTCACTTGTATCTGTTCTCCAGCACTGTGTATTTTATCCATGTTATATTCTGTGCAGCACTCATGTATGTGTTGGGAGGGGACAATCTCTGGTCCCCCGTCCTGATGAGAATCTGCTCAGGTTAACCTCTATCCCTTGGTTTGACTGGGATCCCCAGAGCCTCTATGTCCACAGCACTCAGGCAATTGGTGGTCAGCCTCATTAGTACACAGGTTTCAATGCCTGTGACTCAAAGGTCTGAGGATGTGGCTGTGTCCACACATACATAATGAATATTTGCTCATTCAAGGAAAGCCACCAGCTTCCAACACTTTGCCACCAACAGCTGCTGAGCTGGCTGGGGTTGAGTGCCCTCCATCTCCCCAGGAACTCAGACAACAGCTTTCCAGCCAGAAGGTTCCTTCAGCAGCAGATGGGAGAAAGGTGGTCATTAGGGAGACTATGACAGAGGGGAGACACCGCAAAAGACTTTAAGAGCCAATAATTCTTGTAGAATCGTTAAGGGTTGGTAGGCAAAGGGAGAATATATTTCTCACCACAGATTTTCATTTAACCTATCCCTGCAAGCCCAAACTTAGTAATAGGTACTATATCCCAGTGTGGCACTATTGGGTCACTACTGGACTGCAAACCCAAGGCTCATAGTTCAAACCTACAAGCTGCTCCTTGGAAACCCTCTACAGAGTTGCTGAAAGTCAGAACAAACTCAACAACACTTAGAACCACCACCACATTATAATAATAATACCAGTTAATATTTATGAGTACTAAGTCTATGTTAGAAGAAGTACTACCACTACCACGATGCTCCTTAGGAGCCAAGATGACCAGACTTTGTCTCTCATAATTCAGATATACTGTTGCCAGGAGGGACCAGTCCCTGGAGAAGGACTTCATGATTGGTAAAGTGGAAGGTCAGTGTGAAAGAGGAGAGGAAGACCCCAATGAGATGGATCGGCACAGTAGGAGCAACAATGGGCTCAAGTGTAGCAGCAAATGTGAAGAAGGTGCAGGACCGGTAGTATTTTGTTCTGTTGTGTGAAGGGTTGCTATGAGCTGGAACTGACTCGATAGCACCTAATAAGTATAGGCCAGCCATGTGGTAAGCACCTTAAATAGTAACATTAATGTTGTCATGATAGTCAACAAATGATAGGCAAGGTTCTATGTGCTTTTCATATGTTAATTCACTTAGTAATCTGTTAACTTCATAACTAACCATTGCTACTTAGCAACTGAACCCGTGGCGCAGAGATGATGAATGACTTGCTCAAGGTCACACAGCTGGTCAGTGGCAGAGCTCCAAAGTCTCTGCCTTAACCTCTAGGCCCACCGGCCTCTCCCAGTACCCTCATGGCCTCATATGCTAAGCTGTGTCCTCAGCCCTAACAGCCCCCAGTACAGTGAAGTACAGTGAGCTGGGAGAAGGATGCCCCACAGCTCAGAGGACAATCTGCTTGAGGAAAGAGACAGCTGACTTGGCCTGGGGCACATTTCTCGGTTGTCAGGGACAGAGGAGGATGCTGGCAGAAGGAAGGCGGGAGGCTGGGGAAAAAACCATGGGAAGCAGCATGGTGCATGTGGAGAGAATGGGGACTTGGGTCCTAGTCCAGGTTCTGGTGCACAATAGCTGTGTGACCTTAGGTGACTCATTCAACCTCTCTGTGCCTCATTTTACCATCTGTACAATGGGGTGATGGAAATGTGAAGATGGAAGCATTTAATGTGGGGTGGTGCTGTGGGTTAATGTGCTGAACTGCAAAGTCAGTTTGAACTGCAAGGCTGGCATTTCAAGCTCACCAGCTGTTCCTTAGAAACCCTATACAGGATCTCTATGGGTCGCAACCTACTCAACAGCACTTAACAACAACAATAACAACAAGTGCTTTTACAATCTGTGCCCGGAAAGCAGGAAACATTATGCAAACATTTATTAGTAAACAAATGCTCTTAGATTCCCAAACAAGAGAGCAGCGAGGGAAGGGGCCTGAATTTCCTTAGGAGAGAAAAAGCCCTCTCAGCTCCACCCTGCTCAGGAACACAATTTCCTTCTTAGCTCTTTCTGAAGATCCTGTCATAGGAAGTGACTAACTTTGGGTTGCTAACCTCAAGGTTGGTGGTTCAAAGTCACCAGCGGCTCTATAGGAGAAAGATGAGGCAGTGGGCTCTGTAAAGACATATAGTCTAGGAAACACTAAGGGGCAGCTCTACCCTTCCAACAGGGCTGCGATGCGTTGGGACCAACTCCACGGAGTGGGTTTGGTTTTAGAGGATCTTCTGGAACAGACATGGTTTGTAGCGAGAGGGGAAGACCAGCAGGCAGAAGGTGTGAAGGAACAGGTAACAGCTCCGCCGTGGGGGAAGGGGGCCTAGGGCAGGTGAGGGAAGTGGGGCAGGAGCTGGCCTGGGAGTAGCAGTGTTAGCAGCTGCTATAGCAGGTGGCCATGCCATCATTATTGCTGGTTGTCATCCACTACCTTCTGTTGCAAGTCCTTTCTGATCCAGTAAGCAAGGGCTAGGCTCTGGAGGAAAAGGCAGCTATGCCCTTGCTTACCAAGATCCTCAGCTGCCCCCGTGGGGTGGAGGCCCAAACTATGAAGCGAGAAATCAGGTGCTTCCTTCCCTTCCCTGGTACTTTGGAGGAAGAAGCCCCATTAACAGCCTTCAAACGAGTAGTACTTCAAACCAGCACACAGGTGACTGACATCTTGCCAGAAATGTAGTTTTCATTAGTGAATACACACTAGAAATGCGAGAGTCATTTGTCTTTCAATTCCATTTTTCTCTAACTTTTTGAAGACCCTTGTATAGTTCAGTATGTACGTTGTTGTTGTTAAGTGTCGAGTCAGTTCCGACCCATAGCGACCCTGTATAGGATTTCCGAGGAGTGGTTGATGGGTTTGAACCTCTGGCCTTGTAGTTACCAGTACAGCGTGATACCAGGACGTTCCAGTACATGTCTGTATATATGACTATAGTACTGGTGGAGCCCTGGTGTGGCACTGCAGGTTAATGCTCTGGACTGCAAAGTTGGTTTGAACTGCAAGGTTGGTGGTTCAAGCTCCCCAATTGCTCCTCGGAAACTCTATACAGGGTCGCTATGGGTTGGGACCGACTCGACAGCACTTAACAACAAAAACAACATTGTACTGGTTGGTGACACTAGGATCTTGATATTGTTGTTAAGTGCTGTCAAGTGGCTTCAATCTTTATTGACCACTAATCCCATGGGGAGCGTTAAACATCCTGCTCAATGAACTTAGTTATGAAGTCAGCAAGTCAAAAACTAAACTCACCCATAATCTAAAGTCATCCTGGACTTGTCTAGAAGATGGCAATTTTTTCCCATGTGGAAAGCTGCAGATAGTAAATATTTTTTGTCTTTGTGAGTCACACCATCTCTGCCAGAACTCCTCAACCCTACTGTTGTGAGAAAGCCGCTACAGGTGATAAACATGGGAATGTGAGCACAGCTGCATCCCAATAAAACTTTATTTACAAAAACAGATGGTGAGCAAGGTCTTGCCATGGGCTGTATTTTGTCCTAGTCTGTCTTAGTCTGGAAGCTCCGCTGAAACCTGTCCACCATGGGTGACCCTGCTGGTATTTACAATACCCATGGCATAACTTCCGGAATCACAGCAACATGCAAGCCACCACAGTATGACTGACAGATGAGTGGGGGCTACATTTTGTAGGTCCACCCTAATGTAGAGGATATAAAGAGGCTTTCTTCATATTTCCTCTCCCAACACAAGACCCCCTCCTCAGAAGTCCTGCATATGAAGTCATAGTGAAACAGCCCCACGGGATGGGTGGCCACAAGTAAGCATTGGCCAATTGCTCACATGCAGCTTGTTGGAACTGGGCATGGGGCACAAGTGGGCTGACCCCTCCCCTTCGCTTTCTTTTGTGTATGTTTGAGTATTTTTCCAAGGTCAAAAGTTTTCAAAATACAACGAAAGTTTCAAGAGGAGACAAACAAACAAAGCTGGAAAGCCCACACACAACACACTAGTGGGGAGTTTTTGGATGGTGAGACTCATCTCAGAGGGAACACATGTACTGACCCACGTTGAGGCTGCACATGCGTGTAGGGGTCTGGTGGGTACTTACGACCAGTAGAGCAGCATGAATAGGAAGGGGCAGATGATGAGGGCCTGCAGCACCTGCCAGTCCCGGCACAGGGCGGCCAGCCCCGGCATCAGGAACTGCCCAGCCATGGCCACGAAGCTCGCCACCATGGTGATCATGAACCGCTTTCCAGGGGGACACAGTTCTATTCCTACAACAGACACAGAACAAGAGAGAAATGAACACCCGGAAGTCATGAGACAATCCCATCAGCACCGTGAGGCCATCTCCCCTTGCTGGTCACCATGTCAGTACTGACATCTTTGCTCTTTAGATGAGGGACAGAGGTCCTGAGTGAAGGAAGCAAGTTAGTTGTTTAGCTTAGAAACCCAGAAGCGTGCTGCTGGGCACGGGACTCTCTCATTATCCATGGCTCCTAACTCCTCTGCTTCATAATCTTCCCCTTTCTATGCAAAGCTATCCCAGCTAAGCCTAGTCCATCCTATCCTGCAGTCACCCTTCCCTGATGGTACAGCACTATAGGGCCCACAACCCTGGGCAGGATAGCACTCTGACCACTCACTGCACTTCCAGTCTCAATGCTTCCAGAGGACCCTGACTTCTAGGCACTTTCTCGAACAGCATGGCCACGAGAGATAAGCCAAGCCACCTCTTATCTGCTTCCACAGATACAAACACTCAGGCGTATCATATTGTCATGATCGACTGGAAGCTCTTCTCCCTCCTGGCCTCTGTGACCCACTGTGATCAGCACAGAGCATGAGTACCTTTCTCTGGCCTGCTACATGGAGACACCTTTCAGCAGAGACCATTCCCCGGCTCCTTCCAGAAATGTTTGCTAACTGGCAGGAGAAAACCTCTCCCACTTTTTTTAAGAATGCACTCCCTTAAATTAAGTTGATTTAAAAAAAATGGGCACAATCCCTTAAATGATAGCACCCAAGTGCCAATCCACACTGATGGACTACAAGGATCTCCTGTAATAAAGGTCTTTTATACTAAAAACAGCAGCTGGGCTTCATACATTTCTCTTCCCCTACTGAGCCCGTGTATTGTTTGCTATTGTTCCTCTACAAAATGCAATATTCCCCAAAGTTCTGCTTGCTTATTCTTTCTGTTGTTTAAATATACTTGGAATGATCCAGACAAAAAGAAGAATGACCCTCAGAAGGGGGTACTTTTCTGGTCATTGCACAGAGCCTGTGCAGATGGTGGACTCTGGAGATCAGTTACTGCAGCTCATCTGTAGTCGGATAGAGACCAGAGCAGAGGTCCGAGGTCAGAGGGCAACCATAGGAGAGCACAAAACAGGACAGAACAGGCAAATGATGCCGTGGCTACAAGGACCATGTGAGTTCTAACAAGGACACGGTCCCATGCCAACGAATACCAATACCAATTCATCTTCAGGAAAAAAAACAACAACCAAAATTCCCCTTCCTGTTCTGCCACAAACAGACTGTTCTCAGAGTGATAGGCACTGATAGTTTATAAAAATCCTTCCACCATTTCATTAGGAAAACAGGATTACATAGTTCATTCTTGCCAAATACCAGGAAGCTACTCTGGAGAACCTACAGGCCTCACTTAGAAGATGATGTCGAAGCAGAGCCAAGGGTTTTGCCCACATCTAGTGTTTTTGCCCTTAAAAGAAAAGACACACAGTCACTTGCTCTAGTTTTACTTATTAAACTCAATAAGATTTTTGCTGCTATGGAAACCAGACATCTACATTAACCAGGGTAACTCCAATGCTCCGGGGGCTTGGCCCAGGCCAGTGAAAGAAGAAAATTTAGCACCTGGTAACCTTTTGACCAAAGTTAGAGGACATCAAAATAGCAGAATGGCTGCATGTCCACAGATTTGTTGGTACCACAGACACTCACCGCCGGTTGCTTGTGGTTTTTCTTGTTACAGTCTGTCTCTTTATTAAATGCTAAGTAACGGTGGCAATGTCTGCAACTTCAACTCTTCTCTCTGCCTTATGCAAAGGGTCACTAGACAACTTTCCAGACTCTGTTGTTGTTGCTAAGTAACATCGAGTCAGTTCCGACTCATTGGGACCCTCCTGCATAGGGTTTCCAAAGATGTCAATCTTTGCAGGAGCAGAAAGCCTCATCTTTCTCCCTTGGGTTGGCTGGTGGGCTCAAACTACTGACCTTGTAGTTCACGGTCCAGACTCTGTTGTTGTTGTTATGTGCTGTGGAGTTGGTTCCGACTCATAGCGACCCTGTACAGGGTTTCCAGGGCTGTATATCTTTACGGGAGCAGAAAGCCTCATCTTTCTCCTGCGAAACAGCTGGTAGTTTCGAATTGCTGACCATGAAGTTCGCAGCCCAATTCGTAACCACTATGCTACCAGAGCTCCTTCAAGGCCAAATTATTCTGATGAGCAAATGATGTCACAGACGGACTCCTGTCTCCCCTTGCTGCAAATGAGCTGCTAGGCTGGTCCGCAGACAGTTACCAACAGAACAGAGATGAAGGCATCATTATTTTTCTTCAACAGGTCCCTCGTTTCTCTCCCCAAGCGATTTTCGTGGTCCTCTAACTGCTCGCTACTTGAAGATGGTCCATGAGTGGGTAGCAATGCTTTCACCTGTGAGTTTGTTAGGACTGCAGTCTTGGGCCCCTCCCACACCTACAGGATTAACCTTTCAACAACACTGCAGATAACTCACTGAGAAGGGCTGGCTAACCATATTTGCCCCAAACTGTAAGCACTGGCCACAGCAGAAGTGATTTTGCCTCTCAGGCACATATCTATGGAAGCAGAATAATGAAACCATTTCCTGACCTCTCTGTTTACCGTTTTTGGCTATGAGGCTTAGTGGCTATCTTACTTTATTGTACCAGGTAGAAAGATTCAGGGCATTCTAACAGATAATGGGTGTGTTGGTATTCCTGCCTGGCCAACGGGGAAAGCCAGCCAGAGGCCATCAACATACAGGTGCAGTCACTTAAAGATGGATTACTTTTTTGATCTTTCTTCACCAGAAATTCTTTCCAGACCACCTGAACCCAACTATGTTCTGAAAGTGGCTACAAAGACGATAACAACAGTAACAACAAAAAGGCAATTATCACAGAACCACAGGCACTTTGGGTTTTCCATTAATAACTTACTCCTTTTGATGACGAGATGTTGGTTTTTCTCTAGTGGAAAAGAGAGAACAATACACCCGACCAGTAGAGCCTTAAGTGCTACCATCCCTTGGGAGGAAAAGCGGAAGGTGGTGGGAGGTTTCAGCCCACAAAGGGACTGCTCTCAGCATTGCAAACAGGAGGGGATATGGTAGTCCACGTGCTTGGAGTCACATGGTCACAGCCAACTGGCCAGGGTCACTGGCCATGATCTTGAAAGGCAGGGAAACCTGACACCGATGGATGGTAGTGTCCACAACCCACTGCCCCTTCAGGCCAGGCTAGTGCTGAGAGAAAGCCCCACCTGTGGGGACCCTGGACTATCAGGGACGTCACAGAACCCTTATAGTCCATTTCTTTGCCAATGGGGCTGTCTTAGTCTATGCATGCTGGTATAACAGAATACCTCAGGTGGGGGCTTGAAAGAACAGAAATTCATGTTCTCACAGTCCTAGGGTCTTGACTAAGTAGATTTCTTCTGTATGTCTCTCTGCTAATTTCTGGTAAGTGCTGCTAACCCAGATGTTAGGATCCTCACCTGCCAGCCATCTTCTCTCTTTGTGTCTAGACTGTTCTACTTCGCAGAAGTGATTAGGTGTAGGACCCACTCCGTGTGGATACGACCTCATTAACACAACCAAAGGAAACAGCCATTTCCTAAGGGGATGAACCTACAGGTTTGAGGCCAGGACTTCAACATAAATATTTTGGGGCACATAGTTCAATCCATACATTGTACCCTCAGCCTCCAAAACCTCATGTGTTTCTCATATGCAAAGCATATTCACTCTATCATATCATCCCTACATAAAAAAGTAGGCTTGGTCTATTCAGAGTCCTGGTGTGGCGCTGTGGGTTAATGCGCTGGACTGCAAACTCAGTTTGAACAAGGTCCACAGTTCAAGCTCACTGGAAACCCTATACTGGGTCACTGTGGTCGAAACTGATTCCACGGCACTTAGCAACAACAATCGGCTTGCGGATTTCTTAGAGCTAGATGAAAACTTACAGAACACATGGATTTTCCATTCAACAACTGTACACGTTTCGTGACTATGACTGCAATCCTCACAATGTAGCGGTTCTCTTCCCATCTCCTCCCGGTGTTTACCGTTTCCTGTCCTCCTCCTCTTTTCTATCCCTTTCCGTCTTCTGAGCTCTATGCCTGGGTAAATGCTGCCTTTCTGATCTCCTGCTGTTCACCTCCAGGCCTGCCTGCTGTTTGGCTGAAAGTTGAGTCACAGAGGGTTAGCTCAGTTCCAAGTCTGAAGGGTACCTACCTGAGAGCGGCAGACTCAGGAGTGCCACCAACCTGTATGAGACCAGTCAGCCTGGCTTTTTTATGACTCTGAGTTTTCTTCCCCATTTTTCTCTCACTCTATCCAGGACCTGCTATTGTGGTCCCTCTCAGTGTGGTCAGCAGTGGTGGCCTCGGGGTCATGGAGGCTGGAGTTCATGTTGTTCATCTGGCCTTTGAACTAATTGTTTCCTGTGTCTTTGATTTTCTTCCCTCTTCTTTGCTTTGGATGGGGAGAGACCAATAGTTGCACCTTAGATACACAAAACCTTTTGAGACTCAGTTGCTACTCCAAAGTAGGGTGCAGAGCATTGTTTTTGTGGACTGTGTCATGCAATTGCCCAGTGACTTCCAGACCACATTGGTCTCAGTGGCACGGAGATTAAGGGACCTTACATACAGAAGTAAGCCTGGTCTTACCTGCGCTTCACAAGGTATTGCCAGGGGGAACCAGCTCTCCCCCGTCCCCCACCCATTCCATCTCTGCCTAGAGCAGACTCCACCGTCCCATAGGAACAGCCAAGCTGAGGAAACAACCAAGTCCCAGCACAGTGAGGAAGCGGGCTGGGTAAGCAGATGGTAGATGGACTGGTCCCCAGATTAAATATCCAAGCTGCACCAAAGCAGGGAGGCAGGTGGTGCAGGCAGCCTCTGGCAGAGAGAAGCTGAACAGGAGAGAGAATGTAAAGGACTTAGGGGCACAAGACTTTTAGTGGCTCTTTGTTTTGGGAGCAAGGAGGATGGGACAA